TTTTTTCTTTAATCTCTATTTATTGTGTACTAGTTGAATATTTTCTTTCTCAGAGGAAAGGGAGAAACCCGAGCTACTAGCTGAATCGTCTACTAGGAGAAAGAGAATTGCTACAGAGTCCGGAAAATCCGAGAAGCAGGTCCTTTCTCGATCTTTCATGTAATAATAGAAGCATTGGTGCACCATATGCCTTTTGGCAATTTCTCAATAAACTGACGTGCATGTTAAACATTTCAGGTGAGCCAGCTTGTTGCGCAACTTTTCCAGATGCGTGTGCGCATGAAGAACTTGTTAGGTGTTATGGAAGGAGGATCAGGTCCTGAGTTGAGTAATCTCCAGGAATCATTGGAAGCTGAAGACAAGGTACGTCGGTTTCCCTTCGCCACGAACTGCTAATTCCTATTAATGTCTTTAATTTGTATAATCTTCTCAATGTTTGAAAACTTCCATGCGAAATGTCTAGTTCATGCTCGCCTATGCCTGAAGTGTCACAAACTCTTTTAAGTCCTGAGTGTCTGTGACAGTAAATACAACTAACTTGAATGCTAATTGTAGAGTTATTTAAGTGTACTTTTCGGTGTGTATCTCTAACATGCCCACATAGAACAAAAATCTAGCTTGTTTTAAGTAGCAAGTCTTAGATTTGAACTGATTTGTTCTAATACCATCTTAAAGTCCCTTCCATTATATCAAATTTCTGAAGTTATAATGGTGATTGAGAATTATAATTTTATATTCAAAGAGATTGTACTTATAAACTGTAAATTTCTAATACCCTTCACCTATTGATCTCTGCTGAACTCTTATCAGGTCCTGCCTGCCCTACTGCTAGGAAGAGTGAGGTCAGGATCTAGGAAGAAGTAATCGGCGGGAGCGAGACCGAGCCCTCGGGGTTTTGGAAGCAAGGCCTGAAGTCAAAATGTAGCTGAGCCTGAAATTTGGAATGAAGGCTTTGTTTTTTCGCCTTCTTCTTTTTGAGATAATGAAGGCCTTGTCGTTATTTTGTTATAGTCAGTTCATCAAATTTAATGCGGTATAGTTTTCATTCTTCTCTTTTCTGTTTAGACTGTGAAAGTATTCAATACATAGAATGTAACCTGTTGTTTTGAAAATGCAGCTAATGATATTCTTATCTAATTGAAGAGGTACAAGTCAAGGTTTTACTCTCGAAGGATTATATATGGGCCTAAAATGTAGCTTTTCCCATAAAGAGTTGTTAACATGAAAAAATATTAGCCTATCTTTTCGTTTTCTATGTGTGCGTGTGTCTTTATATATATATATATATATATATATATATTTTTTTTTTTTTTAAGATGTTACTTTTTTTATTAGTAGCTCTAACAATGCAACTAGCCAGCCAAAATCTAGCTTGCTTTAAACAGCAATGCCTTTATTTTTTCGAATCTGCTTTGGATACATCATACATGTCAAGTTGGATTTGAATCGATTTTGTTCTAACACCATTATAATCCCTTGCATTATATCAATAAATTGAAATTGTGATGGAAATCATGAGTGTTGTTTATAGTGTTACTGCCTACAGGAAGCAGAAACACATGGACATATATTTCCATCATAAGATTTATTTTCGTTGGTTTATATTAGGATCAAGATCATTTCCAGGTTGATCTTTTTGCAGTTTTAAGATATTGAAATGGGTTAGGTATTTATGGATGAGGTGGAGTCACAAATGTGAATTGAATTACCTCTATTGAGACTGAGTCTCCCGTTCCCTTCCTCTATTCTTTCCTTGTGTTTTTTTTTTTACAATGTTTTAAAAAAATTGATTATATACTTTGTGATTTAGCAACTTCAGTTCTTTTGTTACCTAATCATCATCAAAGTCAATAGTTTATTCTCCCAACGGCGTCCCGAGTTGGGTCCAAGAATCAAAAGGGTTGACAAGATAGATCCCTGAATTGTGGGGAGCTTGATGGCGATTTTCGATCATAAGAAGTTGGGACTCTGCCGAGACGACGGTGTGGCCTCGGAAGTGTTGGGGGATGGGGATTGAGTTGTCAGGAGAGACGGATTCAGTTTTCTGGCAAATGTCCAGATCTTCATCGCCCAGTTTGGAGGTCAGTGGAAACATTGAATGTTATATTTCCTTGTACATGAAGCCTCTCCTTTAATTTTCTCTATGGATTTGTCATCCATCATTTCCCCATATATACATCTTTATTTGGTTGCAGCTAGCACACTGTTTGTAGCAAGCCTAATGTCTGGCCCGTCGAAGCTTCTGTGCAGTGAATTTTCCAGGGAGTCTCATTTCTTGAGGACCATAGGGCAGGTAAGTATCCATCATGCTGTTATTTCACTTCTGCAGTGAAGTTGTCGGAGTGTGTGAAAATTGTACCCTAATTTATATGCCTCTGTATGATGTAGTTTTCTCCACTAGATGTTGCAAGTATATCTTGGGATTATTCTTCTTACATTCAACTGATGTTGAAGTCTGTGGTCGTCAATTTTACTAGCACAATTAATACGTAGAAGTTGGTGAATTGCATTATGTAGTTGCCTGTGAAATTAGCAGATAGTTTTAACTATTTATAGTTTGCAAATCCATTTCCCTTCCTCAAATTCATAAAACTTCAAAATTTTTTTTTACTTTTAGTCCCTTTGCCATGAATCACACACCCTAGACAACTTTCACATATTCAAAACAATAAAGATAAATTCATAATAGAATCCCTCAAAACAGACTGAAATTATGAAGGGAAATAAAAAAATAGATGGGTTGAATGGGTCATTTAAAGTTCATCTTAACAAATGGGTGACTTGGGCAGTCGACTCAGCCAGGGGTTGATGCGCAAGGCCGCAAGGCCTTTCGGACGTCGACATGTGACGCCTTTCGGGTCATCGACATGTGACGCCTTTCGAGTCGTCGACATGCAGTGCCCTTCGAGTCGTTCTCGCAAGATGTCGGCGTGTCGAGTCGACTAAGTTGGGACTCTGATTTTCTTGAGATGTTAACTTGATTATGCATAATGTGGGACACTTATCTGCCATTAATTAGGGATTATTTTTCATTACTAAAACGGCTATAACAGACACAAATCATGAGTTACATTCTAGAAAATTATGGATTTTGAAGTGTGCCTATTTACTTGTCATTGGTCAAAGCAGATGAAAATTGACAAAATTTATGTGTTATAACCCATCAAAATCATGAGTTTCAAAACACGTATGTTTACTTGCCATTTGGTTGTAACGTACAAAAATTGGTAAAAGGGGTACTTATAACAATGAAATTGTGTATTAGAAAGTAAACTTACTTGTCATTTGGTCGAAATTAACAAAATTGAGAAAAGTTGTAGGTAATTCCCATATATTTTGAAGTACACAAACCTATTTGCTATTGGGTCAAAATGAATAAATTTTAACAAAATCTTTTGATTATAGCCCATGAAAATCATGCGTTATAACCCCTTGTAAATTGTAAATCTCCAAAGTACTCTTATTGATGCTCATTTGCTCAAAATAGATGAAAATGTTAAAAAAATTTACGTTATAGCTTATAAAATCGTGAATTTGAAAGCATGCATAATTAGTTGTCATTGAACCAAAATGAAAAAAATTCATAGGTTATAACCCATTAAAATCATGAATTTTGAAAAAAAAATAATTGCCATTAAATTAAAATGAAGAAAATTTTAAAAAAATCGTGTGTTATAGCCCAAGAAAATCGTGAATGTTGAAGTGCACATACTTATTTACTATTAGGTGGAAAACTTACTTTAATAGATAAAATTATTGGTTATAATCGATGAAAATTAAGAATTTTAAAGTATGCATAATTAATTTTCATTAGGTCAAAATAAGAGATAGTGGGCAAAAATCTCAAGCTATAGTTGTAAAAAGTGTGTTTGAAGGATTCCTAATTAGTTGCCATTGAGTGAAGACAAACAAAATAAATAAATAAATAAATATTGTAGGTTTAGTTGATAAAAACCGTGAAGTTCGTAGTATGTAAATGTAATTGCTATTCGGTTGAAATAAACAACAACGGATAAAAGTTCGGTAGCCAACAAAAGTCCTGAATTAAAAAAAGGAAATTTAATGCTTTTAGGTTGAAACAAACGAAAATGAACAAAAATCATGGGTTATAAATTTATAACCCAAAAAAATTGCGAAGTTTTTAGTACGCAAAATTAATTTCCATTGAGCCGAAACAAACAAAAATGACAAAAATCATGGATTACAGTCTATGAAAATTGGGAACTTGTAAGTGCCCTAAATAATTGTCATTGAATCAAAATAAATAAAAGTGGATAATATTCATGTGTTATAGCCCATGATAATAGTGAATTTTGAAATATGCATACTTATTTGTCCTTGGGTCCAAACGAATGAAAATATAGAAAAATTATTGGTTACAGCCTATAGTACTGATGAATTTTCAAGTATATGCATAATTTAATTGTTATTAAGTCAAATAAATGATAATTGACAATAGTCATGAGTTATAGACCATGAAAAAAATTACAAAATTTGAAGTACTTCTAAGTGATTGTCATTGGTCGAAATAGACAAAAATGGACACATTTGGTTATGGGCTATAAAAATTATCAATTTTGAAGTATCCGTAATTAATTGATATTTTATTGAAGATGACAAAACGGACAAACTTTGTAGGTTATATCCCATAAGAACCATGAATTTTGAAGCACACAGAATTTAGTTTTCATTGGGTTTTTGCACGAAATTGACCAAAACAATGCTATGTAGCCCATGAAAATTACAAATTAAAAAAAAACTAAATGTCATTGAGTCGAACGAATGAAAATGAAAAAAAAATCATTGGTATAACCCATGAAAATTACAAATTTTGGACTATGTATAATTAATTTTCATTGGGTCGTAACGAATGAAATAGACAAAAAACATGGATTATATCCAATAAAAATTGTGAAAAACTCAAAAATACCTAATTACTGGTCACTAGTCAAAACAGATAAAAAATGATAAAATTTATGCTTTATAACCCATCAAAATCATATTGAAACAAATGAAAGTAGATAAAAGTCGTGGTATAACTCATGAAAGTAGTGAATTTAAGTACACAAAATTAATTTTTATTGGGGCGAAACATACAAAAATGGACAAAAATCTTGGGTTATAGTTCATAGAAGTTGGGAATTTGTAAGTACACCTAGTTAATTAAATTGGATTGAAGCAAACATATATTGACAAAATTCATGGGTATAACCCATGAAACTCTAAAATTTGAAGCATGTGTAATTATTTGTCATTGGTTTGAAATCGAACAAAAATGGACAAGAATCATGGGTTATAGCCTGTAAAAAATTTAAGTACACATTTAATTATCACCAAGTCGAAATAAATGATAATTGTCAAGAGTTATGAGTTATAGACCATTAAATTATAAATTTTAAAGTACTCCTATATTATTGTCATTTTTGTCAAAAAAGACAAAAATGGACAAAATTTGTCGATTTCAGCCTATAAAATCATGAATCTTGAAGTACATAAAATTTATTTTCTTTTGCATTGAAACATACGAAATTGACAAAAACTATGAGATATATCCCATGAAAATTGCAAATCTTCTAGAAATAAAACTAAATGACATTATGTAGAACAAACAAAAATGGACAAAATCATCGGTTATTACCCATGAAAATCATGAATCTTTTAGTACTCTAATTAGTTTCCATTTGATTAGACAAACAAAATAGACAAAAAACGTGGATTATATCCCATGAAAATTGTGAATTTTAAAGTATTCCTAATTACTTGTCATTGGTCAAAACAGATGAAAATTAATAAAATTTATATGTTATAACCCATCAAAATAATGAATTTTTTGTTTCACATTTCATCGAAACATACAAAAATTAATTAAAAATGGTAGGTTATAGCAATGAAAATCTGTATTTTGAATAAAGAACCTTAGTTGGCGTTGGATAGAAACTAACAAAAATTGTGAAATGTTGTAGGCTATGCCCATGGAAAATCATGAATTTTGAAGTACACACGTGTATTTGTCATTGAGTTCAAATGAATAACTATTAATAAAATCTTTTAGTTGTACCCCATGCAATTCCTGAACTTTTAAGTATGAATATTAATTGTCATTTGGTCAGAATGAATGATAATGGACAAAAATCATGCGTTATATTGCTTGAAAATTGTAAAATTTAAAGTACTTTTAACTATTGCTCATTGGGTCAAAATAGACGAAGTTAAAAAAGAACAATTTGAGTTATAGCCTATAAAAATTGTGAATTTAAAAGTGTATGCATTATTAATTGTCACTAAGTTGAAATAAAAAAATCATGAGTTAAAACCCATTAACATAGTGAATTTTGACAAAAGAAATTGTGATTGCCATAGGGTAAAATGAAAGAAGATCTAGAAAAATTATGGGTTAGCCCATGAAAATCGTGAATTTTGAAGTACACATTTATTTGACATTAGGTTGGAAACTTAACAAGATTGAGAAAATTTGTGGGTTATAAGTCATGTAAATCGGGAATTTTAAAGTATGTATAATTAATTGTCATTAACTCTAAATGAATGATAATGGACAAAAATTATGGGTCATAGCTATGAATAATAATTTTGAAGGGCATTTAATTAATTGTCATTGGGTTAAAACAAATACAAAATGGACAAATATCGTGGGTTATTTATGAGGAATAGTAAAGCCAACCTTTGAATGAAAACTTTGTGGAAAATATTTGGATGAATGGTAGTTTTTTCTTTTTCTTTTTTAATAAAAGGCTTCTCAAAGAAAGATAAAAGTACGAGATAATGTGGGTTAGATCTGTTTCACGTGTAGCATCTAGCTTGAATATATGGATTCATGCCTTTGAGGCTTTCCACCAAATTTCTCATATAAACGTAATTTTTATTCCTTCTATAATATCTGCTTCACATGAAGCCGTAAACCCCAATAATAGAGTTTAGAATCTAAAACAAGTAACTAATTTCAACTAACAAATTCAATCCTATCTTTAAAACTAACTCAAACAAATTCAACTCTATCCTAATTGACTAAGATCAAATAACTAATTCTAATTTATCTAAAATCAAATCTAAATTTAAAATCATAACAACTTTATTTTGTTCAAGCTGAACCAAATCTGATCTTTGAATTTGTCCTGCATCAATTATAGTTTATGAAAACTATGAATTTTGAGTTACACATAATTAATTACTATGGGGTCGAAATGAACGACAATGGATAAAAGTCATGTAGCCCACAAAGTTGCAAATTTTAAAAAAGAAAAAACTTAAAACTATTAGGTCAAAACAAACGAAAAGGACAAACATCATGGATTATAACCCATAAAAGCTGTGAATTTTTAAGCACACAAAAACCATGAGTTGTAATCCATGAAAATTGAGAATTTGTGAGCATGCCTAATTAATTGTCATTAGATTACAAATGAAAACGGATCAAAGTCGTGTGTTAAAGCCCATCAAAATTGTGAATTTTGAAGCTTGCATACTTATTTGTCATTGGGTTGAAACGAATGAAAGTCATGGGTTATAGCCAATGAAAGTCAAGAATTTTTAAGTAGATGTAATTAATTGTCATTAGGCCGTCATAAACGATAAATGACAAGAGTCATGAGTTACAAACCATGAAAATTACAAAGTTTAAAGCCTCCTAATTAATTGTCATTGGTTCAAACAGGCAAAATTGAACAAAAATTGCGGGTCATAGGCCATGAAAATTGTCAATTTTGAAGTGCGCATAATTAATTGCCATTTTGCCAAAAAATATGAAAATGGACCAACTTTGTGGGTTATATAATATAGCTTGTTAAAATCGTAAATTTATAAGCACACATGAAATTCATGATATATTGACAAAAAGCATGAGATATAGACCATGAAAGTCGCAGATTTTAGAAAAAAGACACATAATTGCTATCGGGTTGAAACAAATAAAAATTGTAAGATATGACCCAAGAAAATTGATAGTTGTTTACCATTTTGGTCGAAACAAATAAAAATTGATAAAAATTATGGTTTCATAGCCCATTAAAATTGAAAATTTTGAAACAAAAATAAGTAATTGTCATTGGCTCGGAATGAGCATTAAGGGACACAAATCATTAGTTATAACCCATAAAAATTGCAATCTTTGAAGTACTCCTGATTAATAGCTATTTGGATGAAACATATCCAAATGGACAAAATTTTTATTAGACCAGAAAAACTGCTCCGATAAAATTGAATGGTGAAAATTGCTTCAGGTAAATGAGGCTCTTCTAATAGTTGTTGTTGTCTTTTGCCTCACTGTTGAACTGATGCTATTTAAACTTTAATCTCGTTTGCTCGATTTAGTTATGCAGGCAAAGTTCACGAGACTTTGCCGTCCTCTTATTCAGAAAGCTTCCTCTCTGCAAAGGGTGTCGTCCAAGAGAAAAAGGCATGTTAATCAAATAAGTATTTTCCTGCAAGCACCACAGGTTATTTCAACCGTCTGTTTAATCGATAATGCCTTTTTTTTTTACGTTTCTTTGTAATCTTCCTTCTCTGATTGGCATATTATCAGGTTGAGGATCGGTAATCATCATTACATTCTGTCATTCCTATTGATTATTTTTTCTGTACATGCTGCGATTATATGTTCTATGTACTTTCCTGATTTTATTCATGTTTTTCGGTCGCTTGTATGCTGCAGCAAGTGGGTCTTAAATCCATAAATGAGTCTATTGCAACAGATATCACATACAACATCTATGTGCAGGGCGTAATACTGTTACTGATCACCTTATGTTTTTTTTTAATTATTGATAATTATAATTAAAAAAAAGTAAGAACAAGGGAAAATTTTTCGAGGTTTATGCCTCACCTCATAAGGGGCCTTGACAATTTATCTCATGCCTATTTCCTCTTTAAACACTAATATTAAGAGAGAGAAGCAATAGGGGTAAAAAAACTCTATGCATATTGCTAAGGAATTTAATAGAAGTTTGTAATCCAGATTACAATCTTTTAACTTTATTCATATAGATACAAGTCTAGTAAGACGTGATAAAGCTTGAGCCTTGCTCGTATTGTTTTATCACTTTTATGAAATGCCAGTAAGTGCATAAACACAGAGGCCATATATGTAACATGTATGGCCATTGAACACAACAATATCAAATTGCGTAGTAAACAGAAGAGTCTGCTTAGCTAAGGAGATTGATACAGCAGCGATCGTTCAGCAACACCAGCTGTTGTTTCCATATAGTAGGATTCAATGATACCTATCCCCCCCAACTCCAACTCCTATTCCGATTCCAACCTGCGATGAAGGTGCCGGATCATTAAATTCACTGTAGTCGATCGTGTTCAGTTTATTCTTGGCATATTGCCCGCTTCCAACGCGTACACCGCCTGCAAGCTTTGGTACATCCTTCAATTTTGACAGGTCAAATCTAAGTTTGACATCGTTACCTCCGAGCTCACTGGTGTTGTTACTCCCAATATCAATGCCATTATACTCCCCACCACCGTTACCTTCTTGACATTGAACGCCAGCGTATCCTCCACCGATATATCCTCCATGGGTGCGTTATTCCCCCGACCCGCATATCCTCCACTGCTGTTCTCACCCGCATATCCTCACCGCACGTATCGTCACCTCCACCATTAATATCCTCCTCCGACCATGTACTAGAGTGGTGATGCTTGGTGGCGTCGAGGCTTGACCACACACCATGGCTCCCATAAAGTGCCCCAGTCCTCTGCCCACACTCCCTGTACTACTTCACCAACCAGTGCTATAGTCCGCCAACCACATATCCATCACCACTGAGCTACATTGTATCCGCCATTCATATCCACCACTGTAGCCGTCCGCTATATCCACCACTGTATCTGCCACTATTAACCCGCTCACCACATTTGCTGCTGACCTCCCCTTCCGCCGCCTGCCCCAAACCGTCCACCAGAAGGTGGCTGCTCCCATCCGCCACTATAGGCCCCTCCCCATGCCCCCCCACCTCCACCTTGTGGTACCGGTACTATGGCTCCAGCGCCTTGTCCTCCTCCCCAGTAGTTGTCACACTGATGAAAGAAATCAGACCAACATAAAAACATCAGCTGAGTGTTACAAGAGAAGGGCGTGTTAACGCCGGTAATATTTTTTCTTTTGAATAGTTATCCTAAAAATTAATAGTTACTAGGGTCTGATCTGTGCAATAAAATGAAAAAGGAGTGTGTGGCAATGTAGTTTGAATTACTATTATCCCTGCACCAAATGAGTTAGATTTGATACTATATAGCAGAAATAAAGAAATCATGGGTATCCTAGCGGAAGAAGAGCATAACAGAAGCATGATCTTCTCTCTATATAGAACGTAGGAGAGAGCAGAAGCAGAGTATAGCGGAAGTATGATCTGTCTCTATAGAAAAACTGGAAAGGTGAGAGCAGAGCAGAATTTGGCTCTCTCCACACTCTGTAGCATAGATAGATAGAGAGAGAGAGAGAGAGAGAGAGAGAGAGAGAGAGAGAGAGAGAGAGAGAGAGAGAGAGAGAGGAGAAAAGTGCTCTCTATGGGTGGAAGAGGGGGAATTTGGCTCACCATTTTTTTCACACCGGAGGTTTGTCTTCTCTCAGCAAGAAAGAAAGTGGAGAAGGATTTTTGTGAGGGAGTTTGTTGAACCAAGAAGTGGATTTATATACAAAAGCTCAAGGTCCCGCAAGTGGGTCATTGGCATGAACGGGTAAAGTTAGAATATTCTCATTGGGAAACCAAGAGTGCACGTTTACAATCCGGGTCTTCTTCTTTCTTAGGGACTGTTTGTTTGCTAAAAAATGAGAAAACCCCCCGCCACGTCAGATTTCAAGAAATCTCCCCCTGCCACGTAGGATTTTGGTTTCAACCGATTTTCAAATCACATGTTTGTTTCGTTTTGTGATTTAAAGAAATGAGGGTGCCATGTCAGATTTTTGAGAAAAATGTTTTTGGTTAAAACATTTGAAAATGTCACTTTAATGAATTTTTAATTACTAAAAGCACTGTTGAAACAGTGACTGTGAATAAAACAGATTATTTAATTGCTGAATGAATTTTTAATTACTAAAAGCACTGTTGAAACAGTGACTGTGAATAAAACAGATTATTTAATTGCTGAAAACACTGTTACTATTGCGGAGCACTGTTGAAACAGTGACTGTGAATAAAACAGATTATTTAATTGCTGAAAACACTGTTACTATTGCGGTTAATTTCCATTTCCTTTTTTTATGTTCAAACAAACACAAGAAATGGAAATCGAAACACTGTTATTATTGCGGCTGGATTTGTTTCTTATGTGACGTGACGGTGACATGACGGTGATTTCATTGCGAAAAAAAAGAAATGCGGAAAATGTCTTGAAATCTCTTGAAATGAGTTGAAATGTGAGTTTTTTATTTTCGTTTTTTTTCGGAAAACAACCAAACAGCCCCTACTACTAACAAGTTTTTTTCTTAAATTTACCTATGATTAGACTTGCAACTAATTTCATTGTTGGACTTCAGATAACAGCAGAAAGATTCGACATTTAAATTGATACTTTTATTTCTCTTTTTCCCAAAGTCGTAGATGACATTCCGTCGAGCAATAGCATTACTGGAACACATGGATTTCATTATAATAATTACTGGAAGCATCCTTGTGTTTATCAGATATTCATACGAATTGTGTTCACAGGCTGCCTTAAGCTGCTGCTCTGCTTGGCTTGAATCTGCTTTAGTAGAGTTCTGAAATAACCACTGACATACATATAAAATATCAGCAACGGGGGGTTTTAGAAAACTTTTCGGGTTTCGGCGGGAGAGCTTTGAAAATTCGTATAAATTAGGGCCCAGCTTATAAAGGATTCATTTAGCCTGCCTGATAAAGTCGTGTTATTGGTTTCTTGTCCTTATAAGCTACGATCACCTTGATACTTCCTACTATTGAATAGATGTAAGAAGGTTTATTTTAGGAAAAGGAATGTATTGAGTTTTTTATATTAGGAGGTAATACAATTTTGAAGGAATGTATTGAGTTTTTTTTTTAAAATATTAGGATGCTCTAATTATTGATAAATTGGATTGCCAAATATTTCTGGAATAAAGATAATCTTGTGGAGAGTTGTGTCAGGTGTGCATTTTGTGACAGGGAGGTTAGAAGTTGAAGGCAGATCTCCAGGCAACGTAATCAGTGGTATTTCACTCCTCCTATTCTTTAATAAAAGCATACAGAATACTATTAATGTCCTAGAAAATTTTAGATGCTGATTGCTTGAGCTGCAATTTCATTATATATTTCTAAGATGAAGAAAAATAGTTCGTGCATACATTTTCTTTTTGTATTTTGTTTTAGAGTGTTCAGGTACACATGCATGGACCTTCTTCTCATGCTTTAAAGAATGATTGTAATTTTTAGCATTATTCTTTACTTTATGTCTCTAACCTCTTCATAGGTTACTGGTCAACATGAAACTGAAGCTTATCATGATGCCTCTACATTCTTTCAAATGTCACCACATCCATATTACATTTACACTTGTGTATTCATGACAAGGTATGAAAGAACAAGGAAACTCCTAAAAGCTTCACTTCTTCAATTATGATGAAGATGTGCAAACTAACGTACCTATACTGTCATCTTTCAGGGCCATGGCAGGAGCTCACTTTGAATATTCTGTCTGGTCACAGTGCATTTGGACCGCTTGAAGAAGGAATATATGGTCCAAGCAAATAATTGATAAAGGTGGATAGAATGTGGATTCATTTTGTTAATGATATCTTATTAGATATGTTTAATGTCAATGGGTCAGATTAGAGCTTAAAATTTGGCTACTGGATGGATGTGCTTTTGCACAGATATTCGACTCGTACAAATTGCTTCCATGCTCATATTTGAAACTTAATGTGATATAGTTTTAGGAGTTAAATGTTATAATTTGCTTACGTGTAGCGAATGTAGTGTAGTTGTGCGAAACCCAGGGGTTTACTGCCAGGATCATAAAAACAAGTTTTCCCCTTGTTTTAAAAAGTGCGCCTCTTGGTCGTGCGCGTATTCTTGACTGCTGACGCGAAAGGTTAACTTATTCACCGTGTGACGATAGGTTAACTAATTCGTATTGGTTTCATCTTAGTTGCATCAAAACCCAGAATAAATTCCTTTAAGCTTTAACCATATATTCCTTGCTTGTTTTATTTTTTAATTAGAGTGGCAGAACCTAATAATTCATAGTAATCACCTAGCTCTGGAATAATCATTGAGCATTTGTTGATGAGACTGAACGAACGAATAGGCTTTTTGTGATGGATTCCCTTCAAAAAGAAAAGCTTTCGGTGGTGGAATCTCTCTGGTTCATCTGAATGCCGTTTTTACCTACGTCATCGTGCTGACTTGCTAGTTTGCCAAGATTCTGAAAAGTATTAGTAACTGTCCTCAATCCTGATAAAGGAACATGGAATTAAGTTGACTTAAGATATACATGCCCTTGCCATCAATAAATCTTTAACCCTTTCTGTGCCTGCAGATCAATTCGAATTTTTTGTTTCCCCTGGTCAGCAGTCATTGAGCTTTGTTCTCCAAGAGACGACCTTGATCTTTTCAAAACTGAAAAGGGAATATATGTTCCGAGCAAAAGATTTTATTTTCTTCTACGCTGAAAGAAAGTTGTCTGCATAAAGAAGACTGTAACAGGAGATCCATATCGCACCAGGTAAAACATAAATTCAGAAAAGGATCAGCAAATATAACTGACAATATAGTGCATGAGATATATATTTCATTTACATTAGTGAATCAACCTATGAAAATTACTGATGCCTCTTATTCAATTTTGTAACTGAATACACAGCCTCAATAGATGACACAAATACATAACCGCGGGATAGTGGAACAGAAGTAAAGACACAGCGATATATTGTGTGACAACATCGTTGAGAAAAGGTTCGGTGCATTAAATATATGATGCAATTTTAAAAAATAATGAAATTAATGCTAAGAGGGCTAGCCTTGTTTTTACTGAACTGCAGCATTCTTCCAGAAACCCTGATCATTGATATCTTAATATTGGCTTATCCTGTTGATGTTTGTTGATGTTACCACATCTTCTTAATCTGGGATTGCGCATATTGTACCTGTCTGACCTTTTTAAAATTGATGTTTGCTTTTTCTCATGAATAGCTCTTTTTCGGCTTAGCTGGGTACATAATTAGCGAAATAAATGCTATCTGGGTGTTAATTAGGATGAGAGGATGACAAACACATGCGCACGTTAACCAAAAACTACACCATCACCCAAATCTTGTTTGAGCTACTTCTGCTTTCCTCCTTTTTTTTTGTCGGCAGTTGCACAAATAATTGGGGCAAATTCCAACGGTAAGCAAAATACGAAGAAGATTTTCGTTCCTTACATGTGAAGCTAGTTATTAAGGTTTTTTTTTTTTTGAAGTTGGTCTCCTTAAATATAGATGGCTCTTAGACTTACATCTTACAAGTAGAAAGAGTATTCTGTCAATTGTTCATATGTTTTGGTTTTGCGTAGAGTGGCAGTTTTTTTTAGAGCGGACACAGTTGTTCTTTTTCCCCCTCCTTTTTCAAATTTTTTTTCGTTCTTTCAAATTAGTAAAACATTGAGCTTGTTTCCCTGTGGACATATATAAGCTGAAGGATGGCTGTGATTCTACGTCCTTTTATGTCTAAGCAGAAGATTGTATATATTCACCCCTCCCTCCAATGGTCGTCTCTTATCCAACACCTCGATCTGCCTCGGAAAAATTCTTCCGCATAGAAAAAGCTTGTAGCTCAGCTGATTAGTCAAATGGTGAGCTCTCCCTCTGAAGCTCATACCATGCAGCTTTCAATTCTTTTAGTTACGCCTTACTGTTCTAAGCATTCATCTGTTTTGATTTTATATGTGCACTTTTACGCTTACCCTGTGGTTTACTTTGAAGAGTGAGTAGTGTGTGGTAAAGACATGCAGTTTCCAGTTAGAGGAGGGAGAGGACGGGGAAATGGACAGGGTGATGTAAGAGGTTATGGTGCTGATATCGGGAGTGGTAACTGGGCGGCTGGTGGCAATGATATCCGTATCCGCAATGTTCTAGGACATATTTCTGATGGCATGCAGATTGGAAGCAACAATTTCTCTGAAACCGATAATGTTGTTCGTATAGGTCAATCTGGTAACTCTAATCGGCCTGCACAATGTAGAGACGATGATGACACCGTGGAAGTCACAGGATGCTGGGGAGCATTGGTTGCACCAATAAAGAAGCAGCTTAGACGGAATAGCAAGTCATGACATCTCTCCTTTTCACTGATTTTGGGTTACAGTTAACATATGTATATGTACACACTATGTAGAATATGCTTTTGTACGAGTCCCCTGTTTTTTTTCTTCTTTGACTATTGAGGAAAATGGAAATATTCTGCTTTTTTACAAGACCTAAATGAAGTCCTTTTTTCAAAATTTCGGGTTTTAAGTGCCCACTTATCAATGTGTACAGGTATCTGATTTCAGTGGAAATGAAATTGTCAAGAAAGCAGGGAAATGCAA